TTTCACTTCAAATAAATGCTAGTCAACAAACTGCCTAAAATTCAAGCTGAACTACATCATGGTAGAGGATTGAATTTCTGGTTTGAAGATTTCTCATGCAGTAGTTAGGTAGGCAAAGTATTGTGGGATGGCAGAGCTTGGAGGACCACCAAAGTGCACAGTGCAGAAGTGCCCACTAGAAACAGCCCAAGACAGGCGGGTAACTCGTTCCTGCTGCAGAATCCTGCTCTCCACAGACAGCTGGTGAAAGACAAGACCTTCAAGAAAGATCATGCTGATACAAATACTTTGTGGAGAGGAATCTTACACTGAGTGTGAACAAAAAATTTTACCTGACAAGTCTAAAGTCTGGTTTAGCCATATTCTTAACCCCACTGGCTAGGGGATGCCAGGGGTGGGCTGGTCCCAAGGAAGGTGTTTGGCTGAGTCCTCAAAGCAGACAGCTGTGTCAGCACAGAGTGATGGGTTTTGCTTTTAGAGCTACCAGTAAAGAAAGAAATATTTGTATTCTCGAAGATTGTGCCATCTCAGTGCTCAGGGACAATCCAGATATTGGGATGTATCAGGGAAGGAACAGGGACATCCACAATGCATCTGAATCTTGACAGCCGTGAGCTGTTGTGGTCACTAACCCCCTCAGGAAGGATTTACTAGAAGTGGAGAACACCTGAAGATGAGCAGTAATCACAGTTATGGAATGGCTTCTGCTTGTTAAATGACTTCCAGTAATTGAGCTGGGACTGCTAATGCTGGGGAGGATATGACTGCAGGGAGTTTGGTCACCCAGTGCACAGCTCAGCTGTGGAGCCTGTTGCTGAGCTGTTGCAGAGGCTAAATTGGATGTGAGCTCAAAGACAACTAGGCAAATTAATAGGAAAAAAAAAAAATCACTAGGCAAATAAGGACACTGATACCATCTCTGACTCAGGGAAGCAGAGCTGCAACTATTTGGCCCAGGAAGAGTATTGCCAAGGCCTCTGCATCCCTGTAGTCCTCCCTGTGGACTCTGCTGTCAGTCTCCAGTTGTGACAGGTACTGGTCTGGATGGGCTTTGTGTTACCTATTCTGTCTGGTTTTATGCTCTCCCTGCAGCCTCTCTGCATAAAGCTCTACAGTTACATACTGAAATATGCCTTTACTCAGTTGCTTTACACCCGGGGAGTGGCAGAAAAACCCAGCCACCAGGGAGGAAACTTCCCCCAGGCCCCTTGGCTGTACATCAAAATGCTGATCCTCTTCCCTGCTCAAAAACCTGACATCCCAGAGCCATACCAGAGGCAGGCTGGTGTGTGCACCCACTTTCCCCAGAAGAGCCCAGCAGTGTCTGCGGCACCTGCTGGAACCCAGCATTGCAGCCCTGACAGAGAGCAGCATGTCTGAGCCCAGAAGAGGAGTGTGAGGTTCAGGCAGCTGCAGCATATGGGCTGATGTTCTGAATCTCTCCTACTAATTTGTACAGCAAACCTGCAATTTCTGTGGTAGCCATGGAAACTGAGGTACTGGAGCACAATGAAGCACATGTGTGAACGCTGTTGCCACCACTGAGCGTGCATCACTCAGCACTCCTCGACAGCAAGGGCAAACAGGATATCTGAGCAATCACAGGTTGGTTCTGGGCACTGGGTCTACACCAGGCTAAACAGGTACCAGACCACAGCAGCTCTTCTGCTGGGACCAGAGTGGGGGATACCTGCTGGAAAGCAAGGCCAGCGCCAAGGAAGACAACCCTGTCCACTCCAGAAGAAAAGAAAAATAGGGAATGGCTGGGATGAAATGCTCCCTTGTGAGTTGTACAAAAAAGATAGAAATCTGCCTCATTTTGTCTGCCTTCACATTGCTAGTAAACTCAACACCCCTAAACGTTTGGGGTTTGATAGTTTCTCAGTCAGTGAACTACAGAAGTCAATGGAGTCATGTCACCTGGAGTGACAAGCAAAAAATATGCCCCTGCCAATCCATTTTCTTGTGAAAGAAGCGTCTAGAAGCTGGTGAAGGACCCTCACTCAATGTGCAGCATAAAGCTGTAAAGAACTGCAAACAAAGGAGGCACATCCTATAAAATTAAAAAACCCTAAACATTATTTCCTTCAGAGAAGTTCTCTGCAGACCACTCTGTAGACCCTTTGCTTAACCACTGTTATTGAGGCCACTGTTATAATTCTGCCCAGACTCATGGGGTGTGTTGGTTTGAGTGGGCTGTGCTGCTTAGGATTTTAAAATTGCACAGATCAGGTCAGTCTGAGGCAGAGCTGAAAATGGAGATGGTGACTTCTCAGGGTAGTTTACATCAAGGAACTTGAGCTGTACAGGCTGGATGAGAATTTCAACAGGGAACAAACAATGACAACCCTTCAAACAAATTCGAGTAAAGCAGAAAAGCCCCAACCACAAACCTGTACTGTTTAAATACTGAGGCCGTGTACAGGTAAGTGACAAAGGGGCTCAAAAATAGGGCAAAGCACAAGAGATTCCTTATAAATTCTAGCAGTTGCTTGGCTTGTACCTGTAGGCAAGCTGACACAAAAGGTGTCTGACAGAGGGTGATGCAGGCTGAATTGCTGCTGGTTGGGCAGAGAGGGGAGCAGGGAGCCAGCTTGAGGGTCAGCCCAGCACAGGCAGTTGTGCTCAGCACTCCCACCCCACAGCCTGCAGCACCTGCTCTCAAACACAGCAATTAAGATTTCTAACATGAAGAGGTTCTTAACATTCATCAGGTGGAAGCTGAGCACCGTGGTGGGGATGCCATGTCCTTGGCAGGGAACCCCTGCATCGTAACTCATAATTAGGGACCCCTGAGTGTACCCTTTTAATGGGTACAAGCCTTGTTACCTACTCAAATCCTAAAGATCAAAACATAAGAAAGAAACTGCTATGTGCTCAGGTTTCATTTTTACCTTTGAAAAGGGAAGATCTCTGCCACCGCTGCCTGACTGTAAAATCTAAATCCTGGAGTCTGGATGTGATATTTTTTCAAGCAGTGTCACTGCCCTCTGTATTTGTCCTCTAGCCAGTATGTGTCTGTGCATTAACTGTACCTACACCTGGCTGTGAGGTGAGGATTGAGCAGAATGGGTTCCATTTCATGGGTATTTTTCTACTTTGGGCTCCCTAACTAGTTCACAGATACCTTACAGGGTATCAGCCTCACCAGCTGCCGGGTATCTGCAGCTTAAGAGAACAGACACTGTAATTTGGGATGCCAGATTTGCAAACACAACAGCTCTGTGGCTGGATGGTCTCTCCAGCCCAGCCTGGTGTGTTGGCTCCTGAAGGGGCCTGACTGGGGATTAATTTCACAGTCTTACAGAAGTGGTAAACTGGACACCAGGAGAGGAGGATGGATTACATGCATGAAATATCACAGTATTTCATATGGGATCCTCTAAGCCACAGACTCCTCCAAACAACTTAATTTCTATCAATATTCCTAAACAATGTGCAATTTCAGAATTAAGGCAAAATGTAAGTTTATAAAAATAACTGAAGTATTGTCTATGTTCCAAATTCTGTTCACTTTACTTTTACCTTTCTCCCTCTCAAAACTCATTTAGCTGAACCTTTATGTCCCTGAGTACACTCTTCACAATTTTTGGAGGTTGAAGATTGTCCCATTTCCCCAGAAGCACTTTCCCCACAAGCCCCTGTTTCCTGCCTGGCATTTCCAGAGATATGTAATATTAAACCACAGAGGAGCAAAGCATTGCCATGGGTTACAAAAGAGGCACTGAAATTGGATGAGCCAAACTCTAAGCTCAGCCAAAGGGACAAGGCTGTACAGGAAAAACTACAGTAAATATTCCCTGGCAGTTGAGGAAGAAAAATGGGCATTTAGTTCACTGGTCACTGCAGAGAAGCAGAGGGAAGAATCACAGGTTAATTCTGCTCTGAACTTGAAAGGCACAGAAGGAAAAGAGATCACAGATCCCTTGTTAATCTTCTCCTTTACAGCTACAATGTTGTGGGGCTGTGGCAGGAGGGATGTGCTTATTGATAGATAGCCAGGTTACTCAGAAGAGCAGTGGTGGGAGGGAAGTGCATGAAAACAAGCTCCTAATTGCTGTTCCTTTTCTGCTGAGGATCGTGCAATGCTCATGGGCAAATTAAAGTTCAGATTTTTAGCAAATTCACAGCCCCATTGAAAGTGCCCCATAATTTCTAAAGTGGAATAAATAATTTCCAGTGAATAACTCAGCTGCATTCTGCCTATGAAGCTCACACAGATCACTGTCCTCAAATTATTCCTGGTCAATTAAACTTCACAAGTTCGACTTTACAAGCTGTGAATATTTGAAATTTGAGCTGCTGCTCAGGGGTGATATTGATTCTCTTCTCTCTTTGGTTGAGTGCACAAGCTTGTGTATGAACACTTAACAACTGAAAATTCATCTTTTGCAAATACACAGGTGCAACTGAAATTTGTTTCCTTCATAAAATTTGGCTACTAAAATTCAATTACTGAAGTTAGGGCTTAATTTGATGGTAGTTTTGTGTTACAGAAGCACCTAGAGTCAAGTCCAGCCAAGGTTAAGGTACTCTGGGTACTACTAAAGCAGTCTGTGTCTTGCAAATAAATGTCCTAGAGCCACATAAACATTTTAGAAATGGCAGTACCTTTATACACCAAAGAAATCTCAGAAATTTGGGGTAGTTGCATTTTTTCGTGTATTTTATTGCTTCTGAATAGTCACAGAACAATTTTGCATACCTTGGGAGACTAATAAATTACAGCATACGACACAAACTCTCTACATGAAAGTCTGTTACACAGTTTTCAGTAGTAATTCAAGCCTCTGCTTAAGCAGTCTCAGCCTTCACAAATGAGAACAATATTTTGTTATTTTAGGTAACCAGTCAGGCATTTTTAACAGAAAATATAAGCGCAAACAAACTGCGGTTGACCAGACCGAGATACTCAATGTACTTTTGTAGTGAGGCTGCAAAAGTGAGAGGCAGATTAGCTCAGGAAGACAGGAAAGCAGCCCCTGTGGCATCAGCAGTACCTGGCTCAGCACGAGGATGTCCTGGACTTGTGGCCAGCAGGTTGGACCTGCAGCACCTCGGGAAACCACGGAGTGGGCACAAGGCCAGGGGAGCAGCTCAGCAGGGATTTCTTTCTGGCAGACACTAAAACACAGCTCCTGTTCCATCTCTGGCTGTCTCAGTCGAAGGCAGGAGGTTTGCAGGGTCCCCCCTGGGTTCTCTGGAAGAAGGGTCCCCCTCTGGCACCAGGGTAGGGATGCAGATGCAGCCAGGAGTGATGAGCAGTCCACAGTCCATGCTGTCACTCCTTTGTTACCACTGGAGTTCTCCTCAGACTGCAAGTTTCTGGTTTTGGAGACAAATTTGCAAATGGCATTATGTACAATGGGAATATAAGGTGCAGACCTTTCATGCTTTCTTTGTTATACCCTTCCTCTAAACACAAAGCTTTAGTCTTTGTAAACCCCACCTTGTTTATTGAGAATTAAGAGTTTTTGAATTACAGAATGCAGCTGTTTCTGTCCTCAGCTTTCTAATGCCCTCAGAAATTTGCCACTTGGATAGACTGCTTCATATGGACAGTTCATAAGCCTAAAAATGTGATTTTGAGAGGGACAAACACTGAGTTTTGGACAAAGAAATTGAGTTTAAAGAGTGTGAAATGCTTGTATTTTCTTTATTTAGATTCTTTCTCTAGATGGTGAATGGAAGAGGCAAACAGGCCTGGAGGTACACTAGGAAAGAGATCTCTTTAAACAACGGGGCTTTTTTTGCTTGCTCAGGTGGCAGTTCTGTCATCATGCACTTGGTTTTGGCAAGAGTGAAATTTTAGAGCACTGAGACCTGACACATTGGGAAAAGAAAGCAAGAAGGAATCCAGTGATGCACTCAGGATACAGGATATGGCTGTAGTAACTGAACTCTACACTTTGCTGGCTGAGGCTCTGACAGCCAAAAGCAGCTTCCCTGTCACTTGGTTTGGAGCCCATTTGGGCAGTGCAGAGCCCCAGTCAGGCCCTGCAGCAGGGGACTCCAGCCGTGCTGTGCCTCTCTCCTGCTCCCCAGTGCCCACCTGATGGGACCTGTCCTCACCCAGCCCCACGGCCCCGCTCCCATCTCTTCTGATTAAATTCACCAGGTAGCCAAAACTCTTCTGCCCTTTGGAAGTTATTGCCTCCCAATAACCTAATACAAGAAACATCTGGCAACCTTTAGAAGTTCAGATATGTCCTATCTGATTTACTACATGAAGGGAAAAGGATCAGGACTGGGAGACGGAAATAAATACATGGATCAAACTTGACAACTGAAAGCTCTGCTATTAGCACCATGTCTGAGCAGCTCTGGTGCCTCTAAATTGATAAGATTATTATAAATTTTGTATTCATTAGCATCTCCTCTCTCTTTTTCTCCAAGCTACATAGGCCACTGCTCAGCACTCCTTGGCTGATATACAAACACTAAGCAGCTCCTTCACTGTACAAAATCATCCAGGTGCATTTAATGCCAGATCCAAATTTCTGGATCCTGGCCTCTGCAGTGATTGAGAACAAGTTTATGGAAATGGTGGCCCTATTACAAAGGAGACACCAGCTCAGAAGTGCTCCCTCCACCTGATCTGGAGGGTGAGCCCCTGACAGTGCAGCTGCAAAGGAGATTTCTGCAGAAAAAGGCTTTCTGCTGCTGTTTGAGAGCTGGATTAGGAACCACTAAGCCATACAATCCTGCGTGCACACACCTCTGCTGGAAATACAGGCTGACTTTCAAACACAAGGTTCTGTAGTTAGTGAAACCCTCTGCCTTTAGCTCCTAATTTATTTTAATTATTTTTAATAGTTGTTAGTAAGGGAAGCTTTACCAACAATTTGGACCTTTAGTATTTTATAATTTTTCCCTAAATTCATTTATTATTTAGATTCCCTCAGCCCTGCAGTTACCATACACTCTGGCAGTCCATAAAACCTTGCACAGGTTCCCACAAATGTGGTTTTTGTGATGTTTCCCCCTCCTCTGTCATGATACTGCAGGTGCTCAGTTTTTAAATATTTTCCCTGTTTGGTGTGGGAGTTGTCAAGCTAACCTCATGACTACTTCATCCTTACTTGGTTATTTTTTAGTTTCTCACTTGAATGGGAAGCTTTTGCACTTACCAATGCAAGGAATAAAGATAGGAAAAGTAGTTATTCTTGAATTTAAAAAAAAATCATAATACACTGCCTGCAGTAGAACTGCTGTTTGAACATAGCAGGGTTTGCAAAGCTGGGTGGCAAGATGCCAGCAGGCATCCTCACACCTGAGCAGGAAAATGCTTTACTCAGAGATTCCCAGCTAAATTCCCAGCTTGAAGTATTCTTTTCCCTCTTGAATACAAGTAGAGCCTTCTAGTCTGCACTGTAGCAGATTTGTAGTCATCAGGATTAAAATATTCCTGGATTTTTTTCCTAATTCATAAGCAGATTTTTTTTTTCCTAATGTGAGGAACAAATAAAGCTGATAATACACATTCTCTAAACCACAGCAACAGAGCTTTGGAAACAGTCTGTGCAGCAATAAGGTACAAGAGCAGTGGCTTTTCTGTGTTCATAGGTGAACTGATGTGTGGTAGAGATTCAGTTAAGAGAAAGCCTGACCTGGCATGAGCTAAGTAGAGCTCACATATCTCAGAAATTGAAGTCAAATCCTATTTTTGTACAAAAAAGTAATTAACTCATGGTACCTGCCTTTTCAAATCAGAGTTTGGAACCCCTGTGGGCCCAATTTTAAAGCACTGAGCAACAGCCCATGGAAAAATCACTTCATTATGTCATAGGTTGGGAACTTCAGAGATATTTTGGAGAAGCTGATCAATAAAGATAGACCAGCCATTAGACCAAGAAGACATTATTCTAGCTGAGACATCAACTTATGTCTTTCTCCCCATGAAGAGTTAGCAATTTTATTTAAGTGCATCATGAAGAGAGAGATTCCCTATGACTGGAGGAAACAGGGTTGGATTTTGTTACACTGGGATAAATCTAAGAGGAGCTCCTCTCAATTCACCAAATAAACTTTATCCAGAGATTAATAATGAAACAGGAGATGTGGCAGATGGTGGTGCTCATGAACAACATGGTCCTATTTACATTTTCTCCCACTAAAAGGAGTCATTCAATGATTTTAAAAAAGAAGGGTCCTGGCAATGGATTTGGAAACTTAGAATAATCCATTTAATACAGGAGATACAGAAGAATTATTTCCAAACTGGGATTTGACATTTACACTAGCAAGAATAATATCTCTAATAGTACTGGGGAGTTTGAAGACACAAAATCTGTTAATATTTCCATTTCAGTACACAAACTTGTCATCAGCTGGGGGTAAAGAAATCACACCACACTTAATTAAACAAATTAGGGAAAGGGTACAAGTGGAAAGAGAAAAGGGGAGGGGACAGGGAATGAATCATTCTTCTTTTCCCTGAGCCCATCCATCACTTGTTGCAGTTAGCAACAAAAAATCAAATTAGTTGCACCAGTGGTCTGTTCAGACCTGACAATTTCTGTATTTCTAGTTTAAATTAGAGTAGAATCAATGGGAGTTTTACAAAGATAAGTTAAAGGCAAAGCTTACAAGGCACAGTGTTCAATCTGCCTGGCAAGACAAGGTTTAGCCTTACAGGAGTCATTAAGGTTAATGCAATCTATACTGATGTGACGGGGAGATGCTCCATTTTCATTACACCAGAAAGCAGCTCTGATTCACTGTGCTTAGAGCTAATTGACAGTTTCCAAATCACATGGCAGTAATTGTTTACAGTTGTAGGAAGGGAGTATATTGTTTTCACTGCTGGTTTACTTGATACATTTATCCACTTAATCCCTCACACTTAATTTTCTTTGAGAGGTGGAAATAAAAAATAATTTAATTGTAGTATCCTTTGACACTTTCTTTTCAGCTAGCAAACTGGTTTGCTTTTCAACCAGGAATTCAGGTCAGGGGAAGAGCTTGAATACAGCTGCCTCTTCCTTCTGAGAATGATCAGCCAGCTCACCCAGCCCTTTGATTCAGCTTGTGCAAATCAAAAGCATCTTCAGAAAGCTGAAAGATGCATTCTGAGTGCCACAAGCTTTCTTACTAACAAAACCACAGTGCACACTCAGCCTCCTGCACATCTGAGTCATCTCCTCTACCTCCTCGTCCTGCTCTTCAGACCCTGCTTACAGCAGCCTCTGGTCTGCTGCCATCACTGCTCTCCTGGAGGATGTCTGCTGCCGCACTGCTGCGCTTTAAAGACTCTGTACACACAGAAGAACCCGTTCAGAGCAGCTCTTCAAGCAAGGACAGGCTGATGGGGCACTTGGAGGAGGTGGTGGGTGAGAAGCAGCAGGCAGAGGCAGGGCCAAGGTCCAGCGTGGCCGAGGCTGGTGGGAGAGGAGCCCGCGAGCGAGCATGGCTGCCATGGCTGAGGGCCGGGCTCACAGCAGGGCCTTGGCCCGTCACTCCTCACGCTGGCAGGGCAGCAGCTCCAGGAGGACATGGGGCAGTGCTGCTCAGCAGGTCTCTAACAAACTTCAAACCCCAGCAGTCTGAAACCATTCCCCTCAGAATTATTCTCCTTCAAGCCCCCCAGCTTCTGACAGGCTCAGGGAGGACATTTTGCAGCACGAGCCCAGAAATGCTTGCAGCAGCCTGTGCCCTGCGTGGCCTGTGCTGTCCCACACAGGAGCAGCCAGAGCTGGCTCTGTAAGTGCCCTGCTCCTCAGGGACCTGCTAATGGGAGCTGCACATCCTGCTGAGGGTGGGGGATTGCCTCCTCAGCCTGGTCTGCTCCGGGGGCTTCCACAGTGACACACACCCAACAAAGGCAGCACAGGGCAGGCCTTCACCTCCAGGACAAGTGGTCAGGTGGTTACAGAAAAAAAGACAGGAAAAGAAAAAAAAAGGAAGGGAAGAAAGGAAGAAAAAAAAAATCTGTTTATACAGTAATAGCTCACGAGGCCTAGGTGACAGGGAAATAAGACTGGCAAGGCTGTGGTAGGTGTGTGAACATCCCTAATACAGAAAGGAACTTTAAAAAATACATAGGTGTTACCATCTATAGAGTCTACATTTATTCATCTAGTACAAAATCAAGTTCCCCTCTGAAGTACAGAGAATTCTGCATGAACTAAATAAAGAGTAAACATATTGTAAGCTCCATGAGTAACCTTGACTGCTTCATGGTATGTAAAAGTGACCACTCTGATACTTGATGTCTTTTATAAACTTCAAAATGAATTCAGGAAATTTCTGCTATTGAGGATGGCACCATGTGATGTTACCTCTGCTGAATCAGGTATTTCATACTGTAATAAATCCTTTCCAAAGTCAACTGTGTCTAAATTGAAAAACAAAGGTGTGAAATCAAGTGCATACAGTCAGGTCTGTTAGGTACTACCTCTATGACCAGGGTGAAATATGAAGAAAACAGAAAATTGTCAGATACTGGAAGTTAAAAGATGAACATGGTACCAGGGCCCAGGCAGCAAATCCAGTGAGAGCTGCTAAAGGTGATTAGTTTGGGGGGAGATATTAGACTCACTGCTACCGAAAAAGGCAGCCCAGAAGGTGTTCCAGTAGCATCTGTGATGGCAGTGAAGCAGTTAAGAGAAGCAGTGCTGAAGAACAAAGTTAATTCTGCTTCTAAATCAGTGAGTTAAGGTGTTGTCTGTTTGCACAAGAGGTCTCTGAAGCATCTGTACACACTTCTTCCAGCTACTGCTTTATGAATCCTGCAATTTTCTCTCCACATGAAGCTGCAAACCTCTGTAATTCACTGTCTTTCCCTGCATGTGCGAGTTCAGCAACTTCTCCTCTCTTAGGCTGAGTGATGGGATTTGCCAGGGAAATTCAGCACAGAAATGCTTCTTCCAAACACAGGCATTTTCAGACTCTGTTTTAAAGCAGTAATGGAGATGGGAGTTGGCCCAAATCATTTCAGGATCCTACAAAATCAGTATCTTGTGGCCACATTCCCACAGCTGCTGTTTGACTGTATGTCCCTCTCCAAGTCTGTCCTTTAACACTGTCTGTTGTTTTAGGATCCCTGAATCAACAAGTCCTTCAGAAGGCTGTAATGTATGTAACTTTTAAAAATGTACACTCATTCAGTTTCAATGCCCAGGACTGACTATAGCTTCCTTCCTCTGACTATGGTTCTCACATAGTCTTTTATCTGACTCACTTAGCAAAGAACAGGGTGATTGAACACATCCTCTGCATCTCCCACAACATCACATCTCTCAGCTCAGATTACGCAGTCAGGCATTATTATGCTGCCCTGAGCAGGCAGTACTGAAAGGTATTTCACACTCTCAGGAGGCTTCTTTTTTCATATAAAGTTTTATTGTTATGTAAATGGAGCATTTGTTTTCCCTTTGCTAACACATTTTCCTTCCTGCTCGAATTTAGTTGAGTGCTGCCGATTTTATTTGTGGCTGGTTTTAGAATGCTGAAATATCTGGTATCTGTCAGCAAAATTCCCACTGGTTTCAGAAATCATTATTTGGTCTGGTTGAAATGGTGTTGTTGGGTCATAGGCTGGACTCAATGATCTCAGAGGTCTTTTCCAGCCTAATTGATTCTGTGATTTCTGTGAGCTTTCAATCCGTGCTGTTCTCTGCCTTCCTAAGGTTCCAGGTAAAAGCTGTACATTTACATAAGCTTTTGGGGTCTTTGATACTGTCCTACACTAAAATACAGCCATCTGGTGGCAATTAGACCTGTCAATAATTACTGGAGCTGAGTGAAATGGGAAGATGTAGACTGAGGTTTGTAACTACCTCCTCTGTCACAGCAAAGCAACACGAGTTGCAGTGCCCTCCTGACAGGAATTAGCTGTTTCACTTAGTTTCATAGCTGGCTGAGCCCCTGGCTCTGCTCCCAGAGCTGCAGAGGGCTCCCCAACAGGATGGATCCCTACAGGAGCAGTTCCAGATGTGCCAACACAGCTGTTTGCAAGTGCTGGAGCTTTGGAAGTGCTACACACAGGAAGGGAAGACTGGAATTCAGATTCTTCTCATGGGTACACTCACCATGGCTCTCCCAGTCACCAGCAGGGCTAACCTGAGTGTCCTAATTTCAGATGGAAAGGTCCAAATCATGATTTATTTTTAACTGTAAACACAGCTTTGAGCTAACTGTTCAAAGACTGATTAAAATTTAAAAACAAGCTGTGGCCAGACTCCTCACCTTTACTGGAGTGATTCTGTCAGGGGTTAAACAAACCTGCTGGAAAGGGAAATAACTGCAGATTTTCATACTGTTTTGCCAGCTACTGAGAGGTTTACTGGAGCTGTCCAATGCCCAGATACAAACAAGAGGCTTTGCATGGTTCATATTCTCCCCCAATGACTTTTCTCTCTCAGGCCCAAGATTTGTTAATCCTGTGTTGCTCCACACATGTGTGAGATCTGCAGTGGCTGCCGAGCATTTCAGCAGCTCATTCTCCTCCCAAACCATGTAAAGCTTTCCAAGCTTGAGCAATTTTCAAAATTCATCTCAGGTCTGGCTGAACACAATGTGTCACATTTTCATTCTGACACAGCAGATGCCTGGCCCTGCTGCACCTCCAGATGAAACTGCTTTTCTGAGTAGAGTTTCACTCTGCATTTCCACAGGTGGAGACCCAAGGAGATTCTTACAGGGCAAATAAGTAAGTTAAGAGTCTACAGGGTGCCTCTGTTGGTTTTTGCACAGCTCCAGCAAGCCCTGATGTTTAATGTTTTCATTGTCATCACCCAAAAGAACTCGTTCTGCAAATTACAGCTAATCCAGTGCAAATGCAGAGTACGTGTGTGGATCATCTCTCATGTTTGTAAGCAAAATACAGACTGAAGGGACTTCTGTAACCTTGGGCAAAAAATGTGAGCATGAAATGCTGCACCTGCCTTTGAAAAGGCCGTGTTGGCAATGGCCATGATCTAACACAGCAATCTGAATTGGGTATTGTGAGCACTGTCTACATGTGGGAAAGAGCAAAACTCCTTTGTTGTGTGAAGCTCTTCCATAAATCCTCTTCGATTCCATCCTCTGGGAAGGGAGTACCTCTAAGACAATTTGCTTACACTGCTCTGTCAGCAAGACTCTCAGTGTGGTTATGGAAATTTCAACTTTCAATCAATAAAATAGGAGTCAGACCTGCTTATCTTTGGAAAAGAAGGAACTAAAAAGAAAATCGTACCGTACTCAAATAAATAAAGGTATTTGTGTTGGATCTCATGTAATTGCCAGCAGCAACAACAAATGGGCACAGAAATACAGGAGGTGAGCATTTTTATAATTTCTTAAGTTATTTCTAATACGCTGATACTTTTGTTGACAACTTTTTTAATGGGCTGAGAAAAAAAATGACTAAAAACCCCACAGTGATAGCTGAGACACCAGTGTTGGCACAGTTTGGCTGGTGAAGCTTGCAAGGATACATCATGCATCTAGCACAGGGTCTGTAATCCTTCCTGTGCACGTGGGGAAATTCTTTGGGGCTTTCTCCCAGCACAGCTCATCTGTGCAGCTACAAAACACAGGAAGCAGTGACTCAAACTGGCACCACTTTTAGAGAGAAAGATGTATGTACTGAAAAGATACTCAGAGAATCAGTATGAAAACTACTCCTGTAAGACTTTAAATCAATTATATCTACCCTTTTTCTCTAATCATGCTGGCCTTTATTTAAAACTCTTTCTCCCCAGAAAGTACAGCTTCCACAAAAGAGAAATACTTACCTTTCCCTGTATCCACCTTCCAAAATGCACTACACTGATTAATAACGGGCCATTTGCCCCTCTAACTATGCAAAGAACAATTTTGTAGTAGTTTTAAGCCTAAAAGATAAGTTTTGGAAAAAACCTGGCGTCTTTATACCAAATTCTGCAACAAACCCTTCCGCGTATTTAGTGATATGTATTGAACAGGTCATCTAAACCTGAAAATGCAGGTACCTGGAGAATCTTCTCAGCCTGGAAAGCAGCAACCATACTCTTGGAAGGCCCAGCCTCCTGCATGGTGGGATTTGCATCAGCTTTGCTTGGGTTCACTGATGAGCTCCAGTCAGGCAGGTCCCATGAGTGATGGTTATTGTTTTGTTCCTGTTTCAAGGCTGGCTGAGATTTTTAAAACAAAAAAATAATGTAGAAGACACATTTATATGCAAATACTCACATTCATATATAGATTTACATGTTTGTACAAAAGCAGTTGTTTCCTGCATGAAATCAAAACCTTGTAAACAGATATTGAATATTGTCATAAGGAGAAATGCTTCAAAGGAAGGCTTACAAATACAGATGATCTCAGTTTAAATTTATATTCAACACCTAAGAGATGTTATTTTTTGGGTGGTGGTGAAAAAGAAATTCCATCTCCTTTAAACAAAAGGCTTAAACCACTCCTCACCAGAAAACCTGCACTAAAAAACATTCAGTCTGAATATTTTTAAACCCAAATGCTTTCATTTTGACCCTCTCTACCTGATACGTAATTCCTGTGGATTAATAGCCACCATAAATGAAAGAGTACCATATAGGTCTGCAGGGAGCTAATGCTCCAGATGTACTTTTTTTCCCTGTCCTCTGTAGCCCTCTCTGCTTTGAACATGGATTTTGTTATTGCTCTGTGAGCCCGTGGCACCAAAGCATTGCGGTACACTTGTTCTCTGAGCTTGGCGTGGCCACGCTGATTATATTAAACCTCTTACAATTTACAAAGTGTTTGGACTCATTTGGTCTATCCATTTCTGCTGCCCAACAAAAGAACTGAAGAGAATGAATCAATTTTTAAAACAAATAGGACTTGACAGCAGAGACACAGATTTTTGTGAATGGCAAAAGGTGCCTAATTAAGAGCTCTAGGGATGATGAGCCTTTCATTTCTCTAATGAAAAGGAGCTCTGTAGCTTCCAAGTGTTATCCAGCTCCAGCAGAATGGATCTCTTCTCCAGGGAGAAAAAGACAATTAATTTTTCATTTTCACTTAGTTACTGTTACTCATTTTGCCTTCTGTGTGAAGCTTGGGTCAAAGCATTCAGGTGACAGTAATTTCCAAATGCTCAAAGATACCTGGAACGGATGTTTTCAATTTCCAGGTAGCACAGAGTGACATTTCTAAAATAAAACTTGGTCACCCTGTCCCCTACCAACTTGCCTTAAATACCTGGTATTTTTCTCAGAAAAAGGCAAAAGATCCCAGTTCTTTACTGTGTGTGTTCCAGGCATAATGGCAACATCAGGGCTGGATATAAATAAACCTGATTAGCCAAGCACACTGGTTTCCCTGCTCTCTTTCATAATAAAAATATACAGAACATAAAATAAAAGTTAATAGGTAGGGTTGCATCAACTCGTGCACAGTGAGGAAACCAGCAAGGAGGTGGCTCCAGCCAACAACAAAGCTTGCTCTGAACACGGCAGCTCACTGAATGTCCCCCAAGGGGAAAGGACAGGGTGTTTCCACATTTGATTATTCCTTGTAGTATTAAACTGGGCTTGCTTAATCCTCACCCACAGCATGCCTCGTGTCTGCCTACAAAGCCCATTTGAGTCATTTAGAGGATGCTAAAACTGAAGAAAGAGCCCTTAAAGAAGCAGTTTTACTTGTTTTATTTTGTGGGGTTTTATTTTGTTCTGTTTTTCATATAAAGAAACTGGCCCCTGTGTAAACAGGGGAGGGCTTGGGGCTGCTCTGGCCCACAGTCCCAGTCCTGGGCAGCTGCAATTACTGTGTTTGTGGGGGGCTCGGGGAAGGAGCCAGGAAGAATCCAAACTGCTGAGTTTCCACTGTCTTTGCAGCACTTAAACTTTCTGGAAATTGCAATAACACCAGCATCCAAATCAAGCCCGTGGTCTGCAGAAAGAATTTTATTGTACTGTTTCTTGAGCAGCAGAACCCTGGGGGCAATATTATTTACAGTCTCTGGATGAGGCTGGACTGCTTTTTAGCCCAAGAGAGCACTTTGATGTGCCTTCCTCAGGTTATTCATACCCTTTTCACAGAGGTTGCTCTTTAACCCTCCATTATTCCTTGTGATACTGTTGTCTCAATAATTTCTCTCTGAAATGAGATTAATGCATAATAACAGGACCCCCCCTTGTGTCCTGAAGGTTCCTTGGCATCAGTGAGGTGCCTCTGGCACTGTTTCCCCAGGAACAGCACTGCAGGAACCCACAGCAGCACCTCCAGTGTGGCTGCACCCAGGCTAAACCAGATGCAGCTGAGGAAACCAGGAGCAGAGTTAAAAATGCTTTTATTCCTCAGAAAAGCCATGATTTAGTGACAATCTGGGACAAGTCTCAGATCTTTAGCAACATCTGAGTTTGACCTGCCCACAGGGAAAGGACCTTGTTCTGGTGTGGAGTAATTCCTTGTGAAGAATCACTCCAAAGAGCCTGGTGTCCAGAATGGCAGCGAGCAGCCAGCCTCAGGCAGGGGGCAAACAGGGCAGAGCCTGATGCAGAATATTTGTGTGCTGTGGACACACCAGTCCATGCAGGTGATACCACTGGGCATTTTGTCCCCTGTAGCCATAGGAAAGGGGCCTGCCAGCAAAACCATCTCCTACACCTCTACAGGCAGCAGGGAACCTGGGGTGGTCAGCACAGACCATGCTTGTGCTTTCAGTCTGACCTTCCTCATGAGCCAAGAGAGAAACACCTCGGTTGTGCCTAACATTGAGAAGCAAAGCATAAAAGCAAGTGGCAGAAAAAAGCCTTTCCCCTCTATTTAGGCAGCACAGCTGCTGGGGCTGCAAACCCAAGCACAGAGAGGCTACAAATGGAAGCTCAGAGAGAGTCTGTGCACAATGATGGATGCTCTGCATTCAAATAGGCACAGAATGGCGACTTGCAGACGGCAACACTCTCATCTCAGAGCCCAGGTCATAGAAAACAGAGCATAGCTCTGTACCCACCTACTTATAAAATATTAGAGGTAATGAACTTAAACAAAGCATCTTGTTTTTCCTGGCAAACAAAAAGGAAAGTCATTTTACCTAAAGTGGCTTAAGTGAAACATGAGGAACTGCTGCCAGCAATCCAATTTAGGACTTTGCTTTTCTCTTTCAGTTCATAACCTTTCGAATGTACCCACTCACTGAGGATGACTTTCTGCTGAGTGTTTATTGCACCAGCAGTCTTTAAAGCTCAGTGGGGATAGTTTCTTCCCATTTTCTCCTAGACAAAAATGATTAGATGGGTGAATATTTTATAAAAAGGAAAAGGACAGACAGGTGTGCTTACTCAGCTAGATACCCACTCTCCAATCTGAGCTATCACACACACACCACACACCATTGTTAGCAAAAATTAAAGACAAAGGAACCTCCCTAAAATTCCATTCAGCATATAAGTTTGTACTTAAGTGGATAGAAATAGTGACAAATTAACTATATGATCCCAGAATATTCATAAAGATTAAGAACTTGCCATTTTGTGAGCTCAAAATAGAATCACAGAATGATTTGGGTTGGAAGGGGCCTTGAAGACCACCTAGTCCCAATCCCTCTGCCATGGGCAGGGATCCCACCCACAGCATCTGCTTGGACTGAGGGTAAATAGAATATACAACTGGATTTCTAAAGTACAGCCTGACAATTGATGTTCCAAACCTTCCCAGAAAAGGCTAATTTTGAAGATCTCAGTAAATATGTACACTGTTAGAAATTTATTAGCAAGAAATAAACCAATCTGACTCTGCAGCCCAGGAATCCATTTCTTTCATGTCTTGGCTCTGAAATGTGGTCTGCAAAATAAAAATTATAGCCAGATTTTCATCTATATATGTAAATATTTGCACTTTTAAGTAGCAATTTGGAATTTTGTAAATGCCTCCAAAGTAAAAAATCTGGCAATCATTTTAACTAGTATTATTATAAGAACTCCTCATGCTGCTCTCAGAATACCAAAACCAAACTCAATTTGAAGTCCATCTTGAAAAATTTCGAAGTGGATTGAATGTTAAAAAATGAAAACTTAAACAGCTTGATTGTGCTGAAAAGGATTATACTTGAGAGCAAGTAAAGCAATGGTCCACGGGGAAAATGAAGAGCAGCTTCAACTTCCTCCTTTCAGGTTTCAGCTAAAGTATTTATCTCCACTTGTGTTATCTGGAAGTATTGATAAGATCTGCCAGTTTTTCAAATCTGGTGTTGGTTAATTTCTGCTCTAACACAGAACAGACATTTTTGCATGTTTTGGCAAACAGGTGACTCACATTTCAGTACTGATGACTCAATTCATGGCTTCTCAGGCTGATTTAAATTGAATTTCCCAAGTTCTATTTTGATTTTCAAAGGATTTTTTTCAAGACTAAGTACAGAAGTTGTAAGCCAACACCATTTTGCAAACCATATAAATCACCCAGACCTTTTCTCCTTTAATTCCTGTGTATTCTGCCATCAAGCACCCTCCTCTAAGGAACTTCATGGAGTGTCCTGGAACTCTTGAGCCTGAGGAGTTCTGGATGCATTCTCTAAACAATACATGGCAAGGTCTGGCTTCTGTCTCTGAAGTAACCAGAACTTTTTAACTCTGGAAAGAATGAGCTTTAAAAAAGGAAGAGAAATCCCACAGCTCATAGGTCATATAGGCAGGGACTAGAAGGTACTCCCAGGAAAATCCAAAAAAGACAAAAGGAAAAATAAAAATAATGAGTGTAAAAAAAACCCCAAAGAACCTATTTGGTTTCTTCCAATATCACAGTGTTTACTTTAGGCTCAGCAGGAGTCTTAAGCCAGAATTAGAAGAGAAAACTCTTAGAACTTGTTTTATCTTAAGCAGGTTACCTTTTCCTTTTTTATTCCCCCACACAGACATTCATGGATTTAAGACCACAAAAACCTCTCAAAAGGCTGCAGAGTAATAGTTACTATTTATTTTCTTCTAACTGAAACTAGGGACTACAGCCTTGCCTCCAAGGGCAGCATTTTCTTTGGTTTTATATCCACACCCATTTGAACAATCGACTTCCCAAACAATATTTCACTGAGTTACAGGCCCTGAGTAATGCTGGAATAAAATGAATTATTGTTAAACACTTGGCAGTGTTTCATTTTCTCCCTGGATTGCAGACATTGCTCACATGAGGGACTGCTCCAGATCTCCAGCTTCTGAGCCTGACTGTCCCCTCTTACCCCTGACAGATAACACATCCCCTGTGTTTACTTTCACAGTGAAAAACTTTGTGCAATACCATAAATTTGGGGATATATCACTGTGCCAATTATTCACGAGATCTGTGTTCTGTGTGGGGTGTTGTAATGGTAAAAAGGAGTTGTACTCTTGTGTTTGTTTTGTGCAGACATTTCATTATATGCAGCCTTATACATGGGCTACTCGGAATCTTGTTTCTTGAGTGAATAAAATCCAGGCTTCCTCATCTTCCCAGACCTTTTTTTAGGATATTTTCAGACTGTGGCATTCAGCCTCACGTGCAGATGTAGAAATCAGGCATCCAGAGGGTCTGAGCATTGAGCACCACCAGCCTGTGGCTCAGGAGGTTGTGACATGGAGCTGTCTTTTATCCATCAGCTTTACTTCAGTATTCAGAAGGAAGAACTGCTCTTAAAATGCAAAGCAAAAGTGCTTTTCCTTTTATGCATTTAAAATATTTTGGACTTTTCTAAAGCAGCACCTCATTCTGCACAGTCCTTGTTTGCTCCTTGTACTTCTGTCCTGCTGTGTTAGAACATAAAACTTCCTCCAGCTCTCACCAAAACTTCAGAATCTTTACCAAAACCCAAACTTCCAATCCAAGGCTTTTTCCTTTTCTTTGGAACTGTCATTTGTCCTGAAAAGCAGAAAGCACCCACCAAATCTGCAGTTCTCTAGGAACTCCTTTTCCCAGTGGAAAGAGCAGGTTTGAGCTGATTTTAGGCAACACTTTTCCCTTGGCAGGGATCTGATATGCTATGAATTTACTTCACTTGGGCTGGTTTTCTGTCAATAGGAAGAGATAAGAAAATGTTATTCATGGCCATAGTTATGTTTTCCTGGGTAGAATTTCCAGCACTACAATCCCCTTTTGAGTTCTCATCTCTTCAATGGATGTGCAGTTGCTTCATCCTAACAGACCCTAATCTGTTCAGCACAGTCCAATCTCTTCAATCTGAGAAAGAAGTTAATTTTATGGTAAAATATAGAAGTGCAAAAATCTGAGATTATGACATTTTTCACCTGTTCATGCTCCACTACTAACAGACTGAAACAGCAAAGGCAAAAAGCTACAAATCAGGTGCTGCACCTATATACCAAGTCCAGCAATACCAATCTCCAAATGCATCTTGGGAACTAAGAAATGTGGTATTTTTCTCCTTTTTCTGTTATCTTTGTCTTCCAACATGCAAAGGAACTCTCCAGATCTCGCTTCTAGCAGTGTAACAAGCAATGAATGGGTAAACAGAGCAGGAAACACCCCAAATGCAACCCCAGTTCCACAGGCTTGACAGCCCAGAGAGGATCTATAGGGATAATGTCATGCCTTGGTGTAGTGATAAACCTTGGAATATTGACAATTAGTTGCAAACCTCGTTAAAAATTGTTCTGTTCTTTAGGAACAGAAGGAAGGGCAGTGCCAGCTCCTGCCCTGGGTGGTTGGGCCATGGGTGCTCCCCACCAGCAGTGCTGCTGTCCTGGGCTGGCTGCTGAGGTCCCACTGGTTCTCTCATTACTTCTAGGGACAGGAAAGCTTTCAGAAAAGTGCCTCTCACTCAGCTGTGGGTTTGCTCAGCCTCTGCTGCAGCAGAACACAGCCCCAACCCCAGACACCAGCACAGTCTGGAGATACAAATAAAACTAAGAGTCTTAGCAGTGCTCACCAGGATTCTTATTTCTACTGCAGGAAGAATTATGGGCTAAATTTTGTACAGCAGTTAATCTAAGAATGCAATTCTGAATAACCTGATTTTGTATTTAAATGAACCAGAATTCTGCCCTGCCAGTTCTTCCTTCTTCTCCAATATAATGTAAATAACACTTTATAAATTTCATTTTTATGGTCTCTCTGATTGTATCTTACACTTCCCTTCAACAGCAAAAATTATTCATAAATAATAATACATTTTCCCAGTAAAAGTAGAACATTTAGATTATTTTTTTCTCCACTCTTTCAAACACCTTTACATTGTGTGACAATTACCCATTCACTGGACTCCTGCTGCTGGAACAATTTTATGATTTTATTTCCTTGCTCTCAGGCTCAGAGGGAAAGAAACCCAGTGCAACATACAGATATTTGTGAACTCATTTCTGCCAGTGGCCAGGAAGGACAAGAGCCCTGTGCAAAGGAATGGTGCCAATACAGGCTCTTTCCTAGGGAATGCTGCATGCTGCACAGAGCAGCACAATTTCAAAATACTTTCCTGGCATTTCCACACAGAAATCTCCTGTCCATGGGCCATTATTGTGAATAATTATGAAATCTGAGGCAACTCTGAGCAGATCATACCTGGAAGGACCCTCTATCCCTTATATTCTATAAATGATCCCATTTATAAGGGCAGTGACCAGAAATTTTCAGAGACAGATGTCACACAGAGGCCTCGTGTGTGGCAACATCAGGAAACATCAGGTGGCAGCTTCAGCACATCTAATTCTGTGTGAACCAACTCCTTACAGCTGTATATGATTTTTTGTCCTAAAAAGCATGAAATGAACACAAAATTAGAAAGCACCATGCTATTAGTCTCCACCCCAGTAATCACTAACTTCTTTAAAATGCTCTAACAGCAACTGGTGGCTTTCAATTTTAAGTGATCACACGTTTTCCTAACAATGCACATAATGTTTTAAGGAAGTGTTATATTAAAACATGATAATGAAAAAAAAATGTGCTGAAAGCTCCTTTGGTCAAAAAAACAGACTGGAAAGCCAAAGCTTAACTGCTGCAGGCAGGAGTGGAGAAGCCTGTAAGAATTCATAGTAGAGAGGTGTGGGAGACTCCAGGGCAGCCCAGCCTCCCAGGCAAGATGGAGAAATGGAATTTACCTGGCAGTGGGACATATGGTGACCTTACAAAACACTTTGCTGACTCTTAGTGAGCCTCAAGTGACCAGTTCTCAGAGAGCTAGGTCCCATCTAGGTGGTGGGATCCTGGCAGTATGTGCCAAATCCTCAAGACAAAGAGTTTTCTGTCCTCTCCATCTCCTGCTGCAGCACCCCTCCAGCAGAAGAAAGCTAGGGGAAAAAAGAAAAAAAAGGGAAAAAAACCCAAAAAAGAATATGCTATGCTATTAGTGTTGCTACAGAACATTTCTTAACCAGCACAGAAAAGGGAGCTGCTTTTGAAGCCTGTTGTCTCTTGCACTTCTGCCAAGAATTGGAATCAGAAAGTGCTCATCATATTTCTTTCCAGAAAGAAACCCCCACCCACCCTGGGCTGAGCGTCTTTCAAGGAAACCAAAATTTTCTACTGCCAAAAACAGAGCTTACACCTAAAAATTAGAAGGGAACAAGAAAAAAGGGTTTTTGGTCATGTGATGGACAACCTGCATTTCACAGCACAAACCAAGTGCTCGTGGTAGCTCAGAACAGCCCGAAGGAAAAGCTGCCTACAGGGAAGGTCATCACTTTTCAGAAAAAACTGAGGCCAGCTTCAGGTGGTGTGCAGGAGTACAGAGGAGTAGAGATCAAGCCCTGCAGCTCTTCCAAGTGTGTCCCTGCATGGAGAAGCACCACCAGCTGCCTGCCCATCCTGCCTGGCTGTGCTTGTTCCTCCCTGTGCATTCATAAAGGATGAACAAGGCAAAGGGACCAGGGGGTTAAAACCACTCCAGCAGAAGCTGTGTTGGATAAAAGCATGGAGGATGTTCTCACTTAGATCAGTGTAAATCAGCAAAGCCTGCCCTGACAGAGTCTGTCAGGGTGAGCAAGGCTGGAATCAAGCTGACAACAATTAGGACTCTCTCGCTATTTTTCTCCTCTGCTCCAGTTGTTGTTCCCCACCTGCTCCCTGCTTTTGACATGGCAACAGAAACGAATTTATTCACAGTCTCATGAACCCTTTCTTCAGAGCTTTCCTTGAAATGTTCAGATTTCAGATGGTCATGGAGTTTTGCCTTTAGATTTCAAGCTTCTCAGGCCGAAACAATGTCAAATCAGTGTGCAGCATCGTGAATGCTAATGAGGCCACAGAAAGGGCGACTATGTACAGTTAACACGGCTCGTCTAATCCACATCCTTTAAGCACTTCGTAATCCAAACTGCCAAGAATCAAGGGCAGAAGGAGCAGGGATGTCTTGCTCCTTCCATTAGATTTTACAGCTAACAGAGTATTTTTTCTGGTGTGCTGCAGCACATCCAACTCATGCCCAGCCATACACTGTGCTCAGTAATCGAGAGATCTTTCTCCCCTTCTGCCACGTGTCTTAAATCACTGGCTTCAGTCACTTCCAATGTGCCACTCCTTGGAAAAAGTTAATAAGACTCCATAAAAATGCTCTATTATTACAACTTCTGGCAGTGGCCCATCTATACCAATCACCTCAATACAGGATTTTTGGCAGGTATTTACACTTAATTCTCTACTTAAACAGCTCTTTTATTAAGAGTTCGCATGTAGCTGCTTGGCGTTTCACTTGAGCAAGGATGAACTTGGAACAGACACCTGCTGTGGCAGGGGATGCTAGGCTGAGAGCAGACACAGGGGATGGCAGAACCCAGAATTCCCATCCTCCCACTCCAAAGAATGGGGATCAGGAAAATCTCAGTGGAGATTTCCCATCCCAACCCAACACCACGACTTCAGGCAGGCACGACGGGCAATCCTTCACTGAACGCCCCAGGATTTCGGGATGGGCAGCTGAAGATTGTATTGTTCAGGAGCCTTCCAGCCTCCCACAGGGCTGAAGCTGAGTGAGCTCCTGTGCTGCTGAGGTCACCTTTTCTGCTGCCTCGAGTTCATCCTCACAGTTTCAAATATTAGCACTTTAATATCAGAATCTAACACAAGCCAGCAGTTCAAAGGTGAAAAGCATTTTACAACAGAATGAAAATCGTAACGGTGTTCAGGAGACTCAAAATGACTCATTTCCCAAGGGGAAATTATTGGTATTCCCTTTCCAACAACTCTGCTGGTATCAGTGTCATTAAAAAGAGGGAGTGGGAAGACAGATAAACAAAGTCTTAAAAAGCAAATACGTTCTAACTAGTGGTTATCACCACACTTAATAATTAGGGTACTAATTAAGAGGATAAGTAACACACTAGCTATTAGCTTCTAGTAATTAGAGTTTTTTTCTCTAGATAATAACAAGCTAAAAAGAAAATAAAAAGACCTAAATCCATTTCACCATTCACCCTGTCCACATCATGAAAACCTATTACACATATTAATCATGAACACTATGAAGCAAGACTTTCAGATTCTGCACATAACTCAGTGTTTAAACATGTGGCTTTTTACATGAACAGGCTGGACCTCGATGATGTCTGATGGGGTTACCTTTACATGCACAAATCAACCCCTTAAACCACCCAGCCTTAACTCTGGAACACCAAGATGCGCACAGAGATGACCCAGAGCTGGACAGCACAGTGCTGACACAGGAGGGAGAAAGCACAAAGAAATTCTTTCTGAGAGCAGGGCAAACATTTTCCAGGGCAGTGTTCTCATAGGTGGGAGAACAGGATTTAAGTACCTGAAGCTGAATCAGACAGGGAGTGAGGTTGAGTTGTTCCATGTCTCTGCCAGGTTACACTCAAGGATAATTTACCCCATGATTTACAGCCCTTCTGTCTGACACAGGATTTCCCTGTCTTCCTCCAAAAACCATGGTCCTTTGAGTGCTGTAAGAAGCAGAGAGCAGTGCCCAGGTCCAGCTGTGTTAAGGCTGGAAGTAGGGGGTGATTTCCTGGCAGGACACAGCAGAGCGTGCCCTGCCCCTGCCTCGTGGTTCTGTTTGTCCACTGGGAGCCTCAGTGGTGATCAGATATCAAAAATTGGTCAAGAGCTGAGCTACATTCTCTGTGTTGGCTTTTAACACAAACCTTTGTGTGAGGAGATTAATACTCTCAGATTTACCCATGGATAAGAATATCCATGCAGCTCTATTAGCTACAACAAATCAATAATGTAAAATGTACTGTCTTGCTAAAGTGCTGGTTTTTTTCTAAACAATATGTCAAATTACTATCTCTGGACATCATGTAGAGGTGTGAGATACCACAGAAATAGTGTCCTGCCTGGGGTAAAAGAAAACCACTCTAGCTAAGTTACACAGCTGTGGTCAAAGACAAAGAAGAAATCGTTCCATCTCGTGTTGCTTTTAGAGTTACCTGTAGCGTGGATCTTCTCCCACACTGCTAGAAAGCCCAGGAACGGTTCATTCTCTTCTGTTCTCTTCAGTGAACTGGACTTTCCTTGACTTTTAGAAAAAACACAAGACTTGAAACAATGAAATCAAGAGTTATTATCTGCTAAGCCACATTCCTATGCTCTCATACTTTTCAGTACCATTTTATGAGCAGACACACACACGTGCACACACATTGGTCCCACTGGGGAAATGGAGTTATTTTAAAAAACACACATAACTACGAGCAAATATGAGCTTCTTAGAGTTTTTTTTTAATTGGTATTAAAAATGCATCAGTTGCTAAATTTAAAATTGTTGATAAGTAAACAGTAGGTAGCATTATAGAGAGCCACTTCATAAAATTCTAATTATCCCTTTCCTATTTGTTGTGACATGCCCTCGCAGGGATTATGGGCTTGGACTGGTGCCCAGTCCTCTGCTTTGAAAATGCAAAGTAAGCAGGAGGTTTGTGTAACCTCCAGTTGGGTTTCTGAGCGTGGTGAGGACATTTTGTGAGGCTGCTGCAAGTGAAAGGAGCTCGGGCTGTCTCACCTGCTTCTCCTCACCCTTTGCCCACCCTGAGCCATCAGTGTTTCCACCCACTGCAACGGGCTGCAAAGTGCAGCTTCTCCAGACCCTTGTTGACAGGGCAGGGGTGATCCCCATAGAAATGCACTCCAAAATCATTCATAAAGGGTATTTCTCTCCAGATACCCTCCAGGGGCCCAGGCAGCATCCCCTCACTTCGAGCCTGTCCATGCCAGGCTGTTGGGTGAATGCAGAGCTTTTCAGTCACTGCCCTGCCCTCTCATGGGAGAACAGCTCCTCTTGGTGTTCCCATCCACTCCCTGGGATGCTGGAGAGAGAAATTCAAAACAAACACTCCTCTCAAGTCATTCAAGTTCCAAGTGGGAAGTAAGGAAGAAGAAAACCCTGTCTGGTTTGGGATCATCCAAACCCCCAATGTCTCTTCCAGATGAGCTCTTTGTTTTTGTGCCCCAGTGTTTTGTGTCCAAGTGCACAGGGTAGGAGCCTTCCAAGAGCACTGCAGAGAAAATCTCCCCTGAGCTCTGTGAGCTGGTGGTGGCTGCAGTGCCCTGAGCATGCCCAGGGACAGCGGTGGGTGCAGTGGGATGGGCACGAGGGACCAGTGGCCACAACCACAAGTCAGCTCTAACACAGTGCTGTGTACTTAACCTCAAGGCTATTACCATTATCCAGCTTAGCCAAATGAATGGAGTAGAAAAACATTTACAGTTGCCAGAGGATTAATCTTCTGAATGATGCATGGATTTTAGAGAAATGCCTTTGATTTATATAATGCTATACTAGGGGATATAATTTCAATTAGTAATTGCTAATTTTGATTTAGTGTGTTACATACTGGATACAGCAGGTTTATTATGGTTATATTATCTAATTTATTATGATTTATATTTACCTTAATGGGAATATATATTAATCAATAGATACTCTGATTAACTAGGGACTATTAACTATCATGCAACACTGGAATAACACAATCAAGCCAGTAACAGACACAGAGTATCGTCAGATGTTGTGACTGATGCACCTAACTCTCAATTTTACCATGGAATAAATACAGAAAGTAGATAATGATTATCAGATTCATAAATGAATATATCTGTTTTAACAGGCAGCATGTCAGATGCAGTAGCTAAGCTACTTGCCCACAGAGTCCAATTCTTCTCCAAGCGAATGATTTATATATTTTAATATGAAATGTATCACTCACCAAACAGCTTCTTTCACTATGTGATATATAAATTCTACCTGTCAAGCACATTTTGATATTGTAATATATCCTGTTGTCTTGCTTCTTTCAGGAGAGTCTGTTTCTAATTCCTTACGTGTTTCCTGTCTCAGACTGATATCAGCAGCATCTTTCATAGCATTACTGTCACGATGGCTACACAAAACCTCTGCTCAGGGCTCTGCATAGAGGATTGTCCTGGGGACACGAGGACCTGACAGAGATCCCTCTTGTGCTTTGCTCCTGAGCATGCCCCTTGCTGCTGCCTGGCATCACGGGAAGCTGCTAAAGGAATAAGGAATAGGGAGTTTTATCCAAAGAAACACTCCTTGCCCCAGTCTCTGATGAAAGGTGTGGAGCTGTAAGACTGAGAAAAGAGGGACAAGTCCTCTGACCCCCACCAAAACCCTTAGGAAGGGCTGTTTGTGAACCTGTTCCACTGTTTTGATTAGGAAAATGTGTAGCAAGCTAATGTGGGAATAAGGGCTCTGCTTGGATCTTTGGTTTGAAAATACCTGTAAACTCCAGCCATTTTCCAAAGTTTCAGTGGCACTCTGCTGCCTTCATGGACAGTGCTTCTGTGCTGAGAGCTGGGAAGGAACTCCTGAGATTAGGCAAAGACCCCTCATTGCAGAGGCAGGACAAGCATCCCTGGATGTTCCCTCTCCAGGGATGTGAATTCCCTTCAGCCTGTGAATTATTTGACACGTGTCAGTGCGAGGAACAGGACATTCCCAGTGTCAGATGAAGGGAAACCAGCAGCCAGCTGTGGCATGATCACAGCTCCAGTCACACCTGTAAGGGAAGGGTCATCGCCTTTTGCCATCCTTCCTCTAGGATTCCAGATTCTTCCTCTGTCTCTGCTCTGCTCAGGACCATCCACATGTCCACCCACGGGAGCTGCAGCCCTCTATGGATCTCCTGCATCTGCAGTTCCCTTGGATGGGACTTTCCTCAGTCTGTAATGACTCAAACAACACCCTATGGTCCCAAAATCTGCTTAACTGCTCCTCCAAAACCTCCAAAGCCTTCCTGCAGCACTCTGCACTCTCTCAGCCCCCAACAGGCAAGAAACATACCTAATATCCACCTTGCATTTTCTTTGCTGCAAAATTTGCACCCCTTTGTCTTACTCTTATGGAGAAGGAGGCAGAGGACAGCAGGGATAGAGCCCCTTCACCTATGGGATGGTGACTGTCAGAGCTGAGATTTTTCCTTCTTCTGCTGAAACTCTGCTTTTGCTCACAGATCATTGTATCTGCCCTCTCCTCCTTCTTCCTGCAGGTCATTTTGCCTGGGATGAGAGCAGACATTTGGCTGAATCACAACATGCAGAGGACCTGTTGTGCCAAGAGGGGAGAAGGAATTGTCACCTGTGGATGTCAGTGATTATAAATCATGCCAATGGCAGAGGGTCTCTGTCAGCTGAGATCTTAAGCAAGACTCACAATTCAGCAACATTAATTGGAAAATTTGGAGAAACAGAGGAGAGGGCAAGCTGTCTTTTGATTACCAAAACCAAACTCCTTAACTCCTCTTCTCCAAGGCAGATCAAGAAAAGAAAAAAATGTATTAAATAAACTGGACTTCCAGAGCTGAATGTGCCCAAAGTGCACTATTTTCAGAGTAAGAAAAAGCATATGAAGAGCATATGGAGCAGAGGAAAGCAGAGGCTAGTTCCAGCAATTAAAAAACCCACCAAAATAAACCAACCCCAGAATAAAGACTTGAAAACCATATGCAGGTTTCTAGGTAACCAGCCCAATTTTTCTGATGCATTGCAGGCTGACTAGTTCCCACTGAAATCAGTAAGGGGCAGTTGATTGCCTGGCACTTTTGAAAATCAGGCCAATCCTTCAGGAGCATGAGCAGTGGTCTGAAAAGCCTGATTATGCCCCATTTGAAGTCTGATACACAGTCTGATCCCATCTGAGCCTCAACACAGCACTGTGCCTGCTGTTCAGAAACTTGTCTCTCAACATGCACATCCTCTGCAAGGATGAGAGCAGAACCTTCCTGCCACAGCCAGACATGTGATGGAAACTTCTTTTTCCATCAGCACACATTCCATCCCCCTTATAAAATTGAATAGATCAGCTGCAATTAGGAAAAGTAAAACCTTTCATAGGTGCTGCAGGTGTATGTTGCAGAGATAAAGGAATGGAAGCTTACATTCTCAGGCAAATAAAACCTGCATGTAACTGTGACCTGTTCTAATCTACTCACAGGCAGACAGTGAGCAAAAGGTGAGGAAGCGGTGAGGCAAACAAAATTAAATACAAGTCTGACAGAATATATTTCTTAATTAAAAAAATTCTCCAAATATTGGCTGTGAAGTTTTATCTTTCCAGTGCTGGCTACTGCTGTGCTTCAGTGAGCACTTTGGACTTGGGGCAGGTTTTCTGCTCACCCTTCTTTCCTTTATTCCCATTTGGTGCCCAGTGTCTGCTTGGGAATTGTGCTGTGTCCTTCCACGAGCACCTTCCCACCTGAGGCAAGCTCTGGCACCCACAGGCAGTGATTTACTGCTGAATCACACAACAAAACTGGCTATATCCTTTATAAATTCATAAATCCCAGGTAGGACAGTTTTCCCATTATGGCTCAGCTTTGTTTCAGTGTGTAACCCCCATTGCTGAAGGAGACACAATAAATCCTGGGGCTGTGAAATCCATTGTATTTATATATGAGGCTGCTTTTGGTCTCCATTTCCCAGTCACAAATAAACTGAGAATCTTTTGAGTTTGCCACAGGGGTATTTATAGATTGCAAATGGTGGCACATAAAATCAATTTGCTTCTATATTTTGTTTGGGACATTTTATTGTTTCCTGTAAGTCAATGAATATTTTTACCATCCTACAGACTCTTTTCCATGTGGAAAAAGTCTGATCTTAAGTTTTCTTCATAGTCTTACTTTATATACTTTATACTTTATATCTTACTTTATACTTCTAAGGCTGTGATTTATGCATGCACAGTCCTGCCCTTCCTGCAGCAGAAAGAAGCAGCATGAGAAATTATTTTTATTATAATAAAATGATTTTTTGTTTGTCACTTTTCTGTCTTCTAACTTCCAATGCTTCTCCTTGCAGTTACTTGGATAACATAACCACAGAAATTTCTATAATGTGTTTATAATAATGATCAACCCAAGTATTTTTGAGAGTTTGGGGTGGCACCATTGTATCCAGAAGTGTTAGACATGGTCCCATCACAAAATGAGTATTTCCCCAGGTCCAGCCACCACGCAGTATAAACCTGCAGGATTTACAGGAGCTGCAGCCACAGTTCCAGACACTCCTCTGGTCCCCAACAGTGAAATATCAATAGTGTTACAGGACCATGAGAGGGAACAACTCCCATTATAAAATCACTCAAAAAGTGAAGGAGAAAATGAAGCCCATTAAACTCACCTGAGCTGTGTGTGAGCTGTGTGAAGGGAACTTTTTTTTTCCAGACTAAATCAACAAGGTGTGCTGGGGAATGGAGGCAGCCTATAGATTTAAAAGCAGAAAAAGAGTATAAAAACAAACACAGATTGTATCAGTAGTTAACTTGATGGAAACAACAGCAAATAAACTTACATCTTTTCTTCTTTTACCTCCTGCCAATTGTGTCTTTGGACACAATTCAGAAGAGAGGCTCTGTCTGTGTATTGAGTGAAATTGGATACAGTCAGATATCAGTGTCAGGTTCTGTCCATGGACTGGTCTGTAGTAGCGTGGGACAAGCACAAGTTCCTGAAGAACAAAAACCCCTCTCAAACTTCTGTTTCCTTGTCCTTTCCTGGTGTGGCTCTGCTGTCCAAAGGGTTTATCAGGATTTTCTCTAAATTCAGCTCCATACTGGGGCAGTTTTGCAGCAATCCTGTCAACTGCAGTAGGACTAATTCACTGATGAAAAACTCAAATGTTTGAAAAGTGCTGCTTTTTTTACTCACATAAAGGGTAATAAAGGTCAAGGATTTTTTTTTTCCTGTTAAAGTAAATGTATTATACTAAAATACTTGAAATAAATTTTGCTTACTGCTGAAACAGCTTTATGTTGAAATTACTAAAAGATAAAAAATGAGTTGTTGAATAGTGTAGCTTATCCTTACTCTTTGACTTATATACTACTTTTCTGCAGTACTTTATAAACATTACAAATAATTCTATAATTTTCTGCAATCATATTCCTACATGTGAATTTTGGTGTGGAGATCTTGCTTTTTCTGTATAAGGCTTGAGCAGGATGTCTGAAGAGTATCTGGAGCACCAACACACACATATCTGGTAAAAAAGAAGGCAAAAAGCACTATAATTTCTTCTGCATCTGTCAGCCAGAGGTGCTCATTATACAGAACATCAGTGACAAGAGCAGGAGGAGAAATACAGGGTGCAGTATGTGCTCAGGTTAAGTGAGAAGTGATTAACATGTTTTCCCAGTCAGATTCTGACTGGTTTAAAGCTCTAGTAATCTTCTGGCATTTGATGAATCTTTTCATTTCTAGAGTAGCGGCCGTAAAGATCAGAATTTAGACAGGACTACAAATGATGTAAGATTAGCAGGCCTTGAACTCCTCATACAAAGGATATAAAGCTGCTAACAGGGTATAAATAGGTGTAGCCCCACAGGAGGCTGAGAAAAGCTGAAGATGCTGATCACACATCCAGGCTCCAAGAGATCATTCCATAGCAGAGAGGTGTAGAGGGCTCTGTTTACCTGGCCACAGATCCCTGGCTCTGCACTGGGAAAAACAGAAGGGATAAAGAGGAAAAATAATAAAGTGAAGTCAAAATAATGTTTTGATTTGGTGCTCTGTGCTGTAGACAATACAGTTGTGCTGTAGATTAGTTCAGCCCAGGACACAGACTGCAGGGAAAGTCACAGGAGATTGCTTAGGATTGCTCAGAGCCAGGAATACCAGCCAGGAATACCTGGACACATTGCATCCCTTTCTAATACTGCAACGGCCTCTAGGAGAGTTATTCTGACTCCCAGGACTGCCTCCCACCCCACACCTGCTGCATCCCCTCTGTGTCCCACATGGCCCAGCACTTCAGGCACCACCCAAAGTGTCCAGGACGACTCTTCCTTTTAGATTCCTGCTTCTCTCCCAAGTGCACACACAAACATACAGACAGCATGGGCTCAGCACCTCTGCCTCCCCTTTATCCTCTGCCTCTCCAGCTGCCAGGCCATCTCCAGCTGCAGCAGACACAGACAGTCAATTCTAGGACCAAAAAAGGGCAGGCAAAGTGAATACAGTAGGAATTTCAGACTTGCTTTTTAGCTTCATCCTTCCCAGAGACAGTGCAGGCACCTTCAGGTCCCCTAATTGCAGACCTAAAAACCCTAGCCTCACCTCCCAATAGTCAAGTGAAATTAGCTATTCTGTAAAGCTCAAAAATGCAGCAATTAGACTGAACTCACTTTTAAAGTCCCCGCTAGCAGCTGATCTCTGCAGGACAAGTGCAGTGTTTCCCTCTGATTTTCAGGGATCTGGAGAGTACAACAATAGCAGGCGAAAGGCTCGGGTGCTTTGAACCAAAAATACTTCGCCCATGCGCTATCGTGTCCGGCTCACACAGAAACCCCATGTTTAGAGAAAGATGTTTTGATGAAGAGGAAAAATGATCTGTTGCAGGTAGAGAAACACCGCTGGAAAGGCGTGGAGATGAGAGAGCCTCAGTGCCGTGCTGGGAGCGCGACCTCCCTGCTCCAGGGATGGGAGAAAGGTTCCTTCCCTTGCCCTGCCTCGAAGCAGCCCACTGGAACACCAGCCTTGCTTTTCAGAGGACAAGAAATTAGGTCAAAACTTTCTAGGAAATTTCTGCTGCCTGTTTTAGAACGCGGTTCAAAAGATCAAAGGAGAGGAATTCTACAGAACCCCGTGCACAACCTCATGTGGAAGCGAGGCATTAACGGGAAGAAATCCTGTGCCTGAGCACTTCTGAGCTGTCAGCCAGGGCCTTACCTGGAGCAAAACCTCAGCACAGCTCTGCAGCAGCACAAGGGAAGGTAGAGAGAACCCAAAAACTGAAAGCAGCCCTTGCATCAGCACCTGCCCCAAGGACAGAAACACCACTGATTCCATTGTGGAATTGCTCCTCGCTGCTCCCAACTTGGCTGCAAAGAGCCTCCTCAGGTTTTACCACAGCAACAAATCTTCCCTGAGATTTGTTAAAGTGCAAGTGATAAAGTGCAGTCTTTATCAGTAGTTAGAGCTCCTCACTCGTGTTCAGGATTGAACTGTTCTTCCTTCCAAAGCACTATTTTGATTAGGTGATCTCTTCCCTGAGAGGAAAAAAAACCAAACCAACAATTCTAAACACACTTAGGGCCAGATTTTAAAAAAGCTATTAGACTCCTGCTTAATTTGAATGCATAACAGCAGGCAACTCAGCCTAATTCTCCACTTGAGCACACAGTCTCCTGATTTATACACACAAGTGGAATAGCTTTTGCAGATGCATACTCTGCCTTTTGCTTTATCCTCCTTGATTTTTAATAACTTACCTTTACTTATCATTTCCTTAATTCAGACTTAAATTAGACAAACAATCATTTGGGAGGCAGCCTGCATTGACTGATTTCCTCCAGTGGCTTTGAAAATGGAGTTCACTGGACTTCTTTTATCCCAAGTCACCTGGTGGTATTTTGGGGCAGCCCTATCTTAGGGAGAGAAACCTGAGCCTTGCTGTGAGTCACGGGGGCAAGGGAAAAGCAGAGGGTTTAACTCCACACATCCTAAACTCCTCCCAAATTCCCAGAGGAAACACTGAATTGCACACTAAGAAGACTTACAAGTCCTCTTTATTACTTATTTATCACTGATAAATCCTCCTGCAATTTCCACACTGATGTCTCTCTTTGATTCATGAGGTCATTTGTCTGTTGACATTTGATTGAATTAACTACTCTAGAAGATTATTTCTGTCCCAGAGCAGGTAAGGGGGTTTTAACTCTTTTTTGATATCCATAGTTGAAACTAGTGGTTAGACATGAAGCTCATCTCTACATAGATAGATTTTAAAACATTCCAGAAACCACTTTCTTTACAAGATTCAAAAGACACAAAGAACTCCTTGATCAATGAACAGTGGATATTTTTGCACAGAGGAGAATACTGAGTTGCAGGATGTAATATTAGATAAATATCCTAAACATATAATTACCACTGATTGTAATTTATGGTGTAATATAGCTTGGCTAGCATCAGCTCCCAAAACACTTCCACCTGATCATGCAGCTCTTTCTAAAAAGACACCAGAATGTGGAAACTCAACAACTCATCCTTGAAAGTATTCTTAAAAGACATATCTTTGTAGGTTGAACTCTTAATTGCCATAGTGTTACTTTCTTGATGCCCTAAAACATCAGAATTTCAGCATCTACTCATGTAAAATTATGCTATTAAAGTTTTTATTTCATTCAGTATTGTACTACCTCTTTCAAGACATGAGTTGTACTCCATTATTAATATTTTCTTGTTTTTTTCCTGGCATTGATTCCCCAATATTTTTTTCTTCCTTTTTTGGTTCGCAGCTCACTCTCAAGGTCAAAACTCCACAGGCAGGATTTCTATCAATTTTAGTTGGAGTCTCACCTGATTAGAAACTGCAGCAAAAAGTTTTATGATTGCACAAAGAGCCTTGAGGTTTTGGCTTTTTCCAATGTGTTTTTCCAGATTTGATTTCAGTCCAAAGTGTATCTTTCTGGTTAGAATTAAAACCCAGTTAATTTTCAAAAGTCCCTGTAAAAGAGAAGACATTGAAATAAAAATGCTAAAAACAACCCCCCCCCAGATTAATATTGAGGTAATTTGAAACAGTCTTTTATTTCATTGTTTATGTTTCTTGTTTGACCTGACTGTATGACACAGCAGGAACAGCATTGCTTTCTAATAACAGCATCAATCACAGAACAAAAATATTTCTTGGTAATGTACAACAGTTCTTCTCAGCTGAAAATAAAAAGTAATGTTCATCTGCCTACAAGGTTTAAAGTAAATAAAAATGAAATACACTATTGGGATTACAGCATGGGAGACGATTGGAAATGCTGGCGTGATTTGACATGTAACAGCCCACTTTGCTGGTATTAGCAGGCTGTGAAATCATATAAAAAAATGGAAAATACAGAAGAAAAAAATAATGAGTTTCATAAAAAAAAATTCACTTTTTGATCTTTTTTTCCAAAAGAAACTTTCTGTTCTGCATTTTGTCCCACACCACTTTTAGGGTTGTTAAGAAGGAGCCTTTTCAGCAACAGCACTAATTAGTGTTGTGGTTTAACCTGGCAGCAGCAGAACACCACAGAGCCCTTTGCTCCCCACCACAGGATGAGGAGAGAATTGGGAAAAAGGTGAAATAGTTTTCTAGTTTAATAGGTCAGAAAAGGAAGGAAAACCAATAATAATGATAAAAGAATATACCAAAGAATTGCCTGATGCAATCGCTCACCACCCCCCGGCCGATGCCCAGCCATTCCACTGGCCAACTCCCCCCTCTTTTAGCTCAGCATGTCTCTTTTTTCTGTTTGTTCAGAACACATGCACAGCAATTTTATATCACAGGCTCTTGAAGTCTTCCTGTGGGAATGATTCAAAGGCTCTAAATGTGACACCGAAGTCTGTTGTTTCATGGGTGTGGGTATGAAAGGCAGGGGAAGCTGAAGGGAGCAGCTGCCTGGCACCAGGGGAAGCAGGAGGGTTCCACCAGACTGGCCTGGCCACGTCTCTGAGCCCAGGGCACCTGCAGGAGGATGCCCAGGAGCTGAAGGAGCCAATTTGGACAATCATTCCCCACCTGCACTGACCAAAGGCTCCAGCACCATGGGAATAAAGGTTCTCCAAGCCTGAACTGCCACTTCACAAGGAGCCAACGGCAGGGAACCAACCCAGAATATTTCTGTAGGATAAAAAGGAAACAAGACTTTCAAAACCGTTGTGTTCTCTCTC